CTACTGCAGAAGGCTACTTCACTTTCAAGGCAGCTGAAGGTAATACAGTCATTAAACACTGAGACCACGACGATCATGATCTCGGGGGAAGAAGCCCAGTTTAGGTAATCCCTGCTAAAGAATACAAACAAACAAACAAACAAACAAACAAACAAAAAAAACCCACTAGCAATTAGTGAAATAGGATTCAGCTGCTACATCTATACATTAACTATGAAGCCATTGCAGTTAGCACAGCTTAGCATGAAGATTAGGCACAGCAAAGAGCTAGCTTGGTTATACTGAAAAATAATATTGTTTTAAAGGCCAATAATTAGCGTAATTACCATTATGGTGTTAGCATTATATAGTGTTATTTAATCTACAACACTGGTTTTGCACTTTATTTGATATTTGTAGTCATCTTTAGATGGCGCGCTAGCAGTTTAACGTTTTTCTGGTAAGCATCCCTTTCAAATAAATATTCTGAACTTTTATTTATTTTTATGTATTATGAACCTTATTTATTATTGCCCTTGCTGAGTCAGTGCAACTGTAGATATGATTTATTGTCTGATCCTCTGTTGTGTTTGCTTGTTTTCAGGAGTGAGTAAGGGTTTGATGGGTTAACAATTCTGTCTGATATCAAGTTTCTTTTATGTCTTGTAACTTTTTGAAATGTGCATGTGTTACCTGTATCTGTAACGAGACATGTAACACTTCTTTGGTAACACTGATATGGAATTAAATGTAGGTGTCATGTACATGTCATCTCAACTTTATGTACAATTAATTAGCAAACTAGAAAAAAACAGCTTAGAAACTCAAAAATTGTACTGTCAAGATTTACTTTAACAATCTTTTTATGGTTATTAAGCGCTCTGTTTTTTCACAGTGCCAGAGAACCTGCAGACTAAGATCGCTGTGTATATTGGAGATGATTACAGTGCTTGTGTGGACTCATAATTTCTGAAATCTACAATTTTTGCCACATAGGTGTACAGGTAAACATCTGAAACTTGACATAAAGGAAGAAGAGTGAAAACTGGAAGAGGAACAAGAGAACCAGGAAAAACAAGAGATGAAGTAAAACCAGAAGAGGAGTGAGCAACAGTATAACTGATGAAATTACGCTTGTTACAGCATTAGGAGGCTGGGAAAGTGGTTTGACCAATTGTGAATATTGTGAATTCAATATGAGAGGGTATTTCCTACTTCAGTTTAATTTATTGAATTGGATTTATTCAATTTGTTTGCTGGAATTTGTGCAGCTCAAATTTATCATTTAGATGATTTAATATAAGCTTTTTGGTCAGTGCGGTGAGGTTTGCAAAGGCAGTCTCTAAGCAGTCAGAAAAACATGTAAGTCATATTCTAAATTAGCAACATCGTGTGAAGAAAAGATGATAAACTAAGAACAAGACATCTAAATCAAAATTGCTGATGCATACCTAAGCATTTTTAAGTGTGCATACTGAGTGCAGGTTAGCAGGTTTCATGCATTTTCTTTGCACATCAGTTGGTGTGTGTGATGAGAGCCGCAATGAATCCTGTGGGGGAAGAGGTAGGCAGAAACCTAAGGGCTGTTACACACTGTGTTGAAAAAGAAGATGCAAAGAAAAGATGACACAGTATGCACCACACAAGGAGACACAGCTGAGAGTTAACATCTATAAGAAACTTTAAATCAAGAATTTGCAAGTACATGCTGTAGGTGTTAGTTTTGTGTCTGCTTTGCCGTCAGCTCACAGAAGTATCGACAACAACAGCTCATTATGTGTATCCCTGCTGCTCTTTTACCTCGTGTTTTTATTTTTGAAAATCTCAAAAAAGGATAGCACGGAGGTATAATTTTCACCAGACTGAAGTGCTGCGGGTGATGTGTATTAAGGAATATTGAAGTAACTTTGAACAAGATACAGTACATCTCTATTAGAGTGTGTCGTTCGCCAATTAATTGGTTAAAACCCGACAAGTTTAACTCCCCGCATTTACTCAGATATGTATGCAAATGAAGCTGTGGCCGATGAGAGGCCCGTGCACCCCAACAGCTCCAGGCTATGACTCGCTGGCTGTGAATTCTACAGTTATTCGCTAACATCAATTCACTCAGGGAAGCCAATGCCTCGTAATGTTGGTTCACTGTCAGGTTGAATGTTATCCAACAGCTGGTTTCCCAGTACCGATATACTGACAGAAAAATGCATGTATTCTCTTTGAACCATGCCTTTCTAAAAGTTTCCATTTAAATGCCAGCACAAATGAATCAAACTATTTTAAAATATTCTGTCTGCCTCTTTTTGTTTTTATACATATTAATTCTAAATCGAAAATGACATTTCAGTGTCACTGGTGGCAACGCCTTATTTGATACCCCCTCCTTTGGTCCACGGTTCTTTACAGTATTGCTTCAGTTCATTAAGGTTTGGGTGTTTTCATTTATGGACACATTTCAATCAGGTTAATCAGGTTTACTAAACTAAATTAAATAACGCAACATACTACAACATTACAAAATAGCTCTAATAAATACAAATAGCTCTAACTGTGAATATCCCAGTATATTAAACAAAATTACATATATCTTCATAGACTTCATACAATTTCTCCACCATGAAGTACAAAACAAGCAGATGGAAGCAAAATGGTTTTTGGCTTCACTTTTTAAGCCAGCAAAGTGCTGATTGTGGACATTTCTTTAATTTTCCTCTGTCAATAATTCCCCTTGCAAACTTAGTAAGACACGTAATTTTTTGATTAACTGCATTCAAGCACAGGCCCTTACCTTAATCATCTGATTAACATCAGCTGTTTTATTCACGCTTCACAATCACTGTGTCATTCACAGCTGACACCCAACACTCAGTTATATTGATTCAGGTATAAGTATTATAATCTGACAGCACAAATGGATCCCTTACATGCCAACAGCTCTTGATGTATTACCTCCTCCCACCACCCCAACGTTGTAGTTTCATTAAGTTTTAGCCTGAACGGAACATTTAAGTAGTGCTTATAAAGCCAAATCTTCTCTGCTGCTTTGGTTCCATCAAAGAGCATCGCCTCCCTCCAAATCTATCAGTTTAACTCTTAGCTTTTGTTTAAAAGCTAAGAGTTTGTTTAAACCTTCATGTAGCAAACCAGTTCTTTACTGGTATTAATAATATTATGAGCACTGCATTCAGACTGTACCAGGGATATTCAGTACACAACCACAAAGGCTGAAAGCATGTTGATTCATACAACTGTGATCAGTGACCAGAACAGGTACTTGCAGGCATCCAACTTAGCAACATATAATGCCCACTTGTGGACACATATTCAGCAATCCAAAGGCTTGGCTAGACTCAGTAAGTAGATTGCACACCTGGTTGAACCCAAAATATGAAACATATTATCACGATATTACTTCTGGGTAGTGGCAGTAGGTATTAAACAAAGACAGAGCCCGTTTAGAGGAAAGGAAGAACATACATCTTTATCAGCGTCCACTTACAAAAGGTTATCTTCCCTATTGCTCAAATGTTACCTGATAAATGTCCTGGTAACTCTCAATATTTTCACTGCGGGTGGCACATTTGTCATCGTTGAGGTGGCGGGCAGAGTAGGGCACAGATGGGAACTCCTCCTACACACTGGCGTTGACATATGAGCAGCGGGTCGGACCACACAAGCACGTGTTTGATTGATAACCCCTCGTGCGTACATCTTAACTACAGAGAGGCTGAACTCATGTGCAACGCTGGAATGTAATGAACTACAAGAAGCTTCATAGGTAAAGTTATACAAAAAGTAAGATTACCCCATATTACTTGGGTAAAACTGTTGCAATGGCAACCACTCTCTCTGCCAACTTAAAAATCATACCTCCAAGATGGTATGTGAAGCCTTTTGCGCTCACACGGGGGGATAACTCAATGAAACAGCACTGTGTGATGCATTAGCAGATTACACATTCCTGATTTGTGATTGGTGGTAGAGTATCAGCTACTTGGAGGTAGTATGCCCACTTTAAAATCAACTTCTCAAATGTGACAAGGACGATCCAGTAATTAGTACATATTGTCATTCCCTGAAAATAGACGTATTCAGACAACTCGTACCTATACTGATCTGCACATTCATCACGACCCATTTAAATCTATTCTTTGTTGTTGTATGCTTTTATTGCTGTTTTGGAACCCTTCCACAGGCTCCACTGTACACGTGTCATGTGTGCATTCAAATTTATTAAAACCCTGTAAGATAGAACAGTAGGTGTATGTGAAGGGTACATCCCTGTGCTTTTAGAAAGAAAAACACCACCACCGGTTTACGGGCGGCTCGCATGTTACAGTGTGGGCAAGCTGAGAAGAACGGCTCGAGCGAATACAAGAAAAGATACAATGCAACCCTTGTATGGATCTGACGCATTGCAAAAATGTGTCCCTCGGCTGCTCTGCATCAACTTTTAAAGCGTTCCAAGTTGGGGAAAGCTTAACATAAGGACAATCTTCTCACATCATCAGATTAATGTTTTCTCTTCTTTTGATGCCTAAATATCAGCGACATCACAAACTTTACTTTGTGATTGACGTGAGCCAAAGCACACTTCCAGTATTGCTCATACCTAGAGGACAAAAAACAATTTTATTTCCAAATCTTTAGATATGATGGCTACTGAGGGGAGAAGTTCACCCTCCAAGGTTTACTCTCTATAATCACACAGATGGAGCCAGCCAGGGATTGTAAAGGTAAGCTAACCCAGTCCCAGCAATTTTTCCAAAAAAAACAAGCCGGTTGGGTTGGTTGCCGGCCCCTCAAGAACGGGGGGTTTTTTTCCCCCCACTGTTTTGACAGCCTACCATCTGCTTCAGAGCCAATCTCGATCTCATATACCTTCCCCAGTCTGTATTTACTCGGCTGACAGGACTTCAAGTTTGGGACTAAAGATAATCAGTAATGATAGTTTGACTGAAGTGTACACGCAAATGCTGACACGTGTTTGACGCGATGATGGGAATAAAACATGACAAAAACAATTTTAATAAAATATTGTATTTAATGGCATAAGAAAGGAAGAAAACATGCTCTGATGACCTCCACCTGAAATTCAGTCAAAAAGGGCAGAAATCAATGAAGAAGTTTAAGATTCAAAAATAGCTTATGGTTACAAAGTCTGTGCTAAAAAAAGACATAAGATACAATAGGCTAGAAAAAGAAAATAAACCAAAAAAAAAGCTATACTATAATAATATATTTGTGCTACAATATCCGCAGTTAAACCGCTCCCCCCTCATTTTTTCCCCAAAGGATATGACACAATAAGGATACAAATGGTTCTGCTGGGCCACAATATCAAGCCTTGGTATCTTGAATAGATAAAGTGTAAACATAATTGTGAAGCGAAAACACCATTGCAATAAACATAAGGCTTGTTCTATATATACAGTGGCATCATAAAGGGCAAATCATTTCCATATTATCATTTCATCACCATATCATCGCTCACCTGCTGACTTCACCTCTGTTTTGGCCCTCTCTTGGTATCTGTGTTGTCTTGTTTCGGTCTTGCAGATCGAGCAAATTGCTGAGAATTGTAGAGTTAAGGTCTGGGGCAGCAAATATTTTCAATTCTATGTACTACTGCAAACTATAATTCATTAATTATCTCATAGCCACGGAGTGCCATTTATTTCTGAACTTGCACAGAGCAGCTTTAGGCCACATCGGCCTTCTTCCTTGTGACACTCACTGCCTCATATGAATTTAATCTGAGTAAAGGTCTCAGCTATTTGTTCATAAATGCCAGAAGACTTCTGGCCAAAATTGACCTTATAAGAGTTTGGGTCTCTTGGTTTCCTGAGGTTGCCTCACTTACTCAGTGACATAACCATAATCATACAGACTGATAAACAGTTCACCTCACGTAGCAGGTTAAATAAAGAGAAGAGATCCAAATGTGTGGAAGACTGTGACTGGAGTGTTTTTGCTAACAAACCTCAGACTAAAACGATTTTATGCCGGGTTTTCTTCAAGCTTACTAATTTTTGCAGCTCTTGGTAAGTGCCATACTGCAGTCTCAGGCAAACTGAAAAAATCATGACAGGGAATTCAAACTGGGACTGGCTGTCCTCTGCCTAAAGATATCTGTACCTGAATGAACCTCGGTTCACTTTCTGATACTGCGAACAGACTAGAAAAATATAAAATTTAAGCTATGAGTACATGCTTATTTCATTTTACAACAAACATACGCAAACAAGCCAATCCAGGAAACATTTCTCAGAATAAAGGACTAATTATACAATAATAATTGTAGCGTATAACGTAATATCCACAGCAAAATTTGGGATTAAAAATCTTAACATTTTTGCTCAGAGTTGGATGAGAACGTTGACACCAAGCTTATCAGTGTAGCCAGCAGCCACTGTGAATGGTGCAATAGCAAGTGGCACAGCTGTTTGTTATTACCTTGTTGGCCCTTGCTTTATGCTAAGCTAATCTTACTGGCAGCCTCCATCAAATTAGTTTTTAATCAAACAGACTTGAAAGGTACAGCATTACAACAAGAGGAACCAATAAATGCAATCTCAAAGAGTCAAACAGCTGAGATTGACAGAGATCAGAAATGAAGGTGAAAGGTAACAAAGTTAACATGTCAACTTCAGGTCAGCCTGCCAAGTGAGTTTCTCCCAACACTGCTGTTGCCGCTTCGACTGCTCCATCAACTTAGAAGACATCTTTTAATCTTTCATTGCATTATATTCAGATTTTAATTTATTTAGATTTAATTTTTTTTATATTTCCTATTTATTTAGCTCCCACTGAATGTTTTTTTTAAGCTTTCTGAGCTACTTTGTATTTGGATATGTAGCAAGGTCAGTTCTCCTGCTTTGGAATGATGTCCAAACTTTTGGAATAAATAAAGTGCATCCTCATACTGATATCTTCTGACATAAAAAAAAAAATACCGGCAACCAAAAAAAGACCATCGCACACTTTACTAATCACATAGTGGCTAAAATATTATAAATATGAATAAAACTGAATTGATACTGAGAGACAAAATTGTATCCTTTTTTTTTTTTTTTTTTTTCCTGCAACACAGCTGAATGCAGGACAACACCTGAAGTAAATTATGCTGCAGACATCTCTGTTCATTATTTGAGCTGAAAGACTAATATGCTGTCGACAAGCTAATTGGCTGCAGGATGCACATTAAAACACTATCAAAGTCAATAGCCTTGTTCCATTAAACAAGTTCAAATGTTGATGCACGGTTACCTCTGGAAAGAGGAAGAAAAACAGGTGGTGGTTCAGAGCTGCCAGATATTAGACGATATACTCCTGAAGGTACCGAGGACCAAAGCCAAAAGCACATCTGTGAAAGCAAGTGCCCACTTGATAAATCATCTCTCAACTACCCCTTGATGTCTGTACCATTTTCTGCACGTTCACTTACATGTCATAGCCACTTAGATCATCTCCTTCTGTTTACCATGTTTTTACCTGCACTGTATTGTTACGCTAAACAATGCACACTAATGGTTACGTTTTTAAATCCAAACAAATATCAGTGCAACCTGAATTCACCCATCGTCTTTGTTTCATCTGACAGAAAGGATACAACAACCAAAGGTTTGTCATAAAGTACGTAGCCGTTGGTTTCCTGCAGGGCTTTCTCTGCACTCTGCACACTGGGGAGTCCGACGAAGGCCTGCCCTTTCATCCGCCCCTCCTTCATTAACACAATGTCAAACCTATGGAACAGGAATAAAGACACATCATTATCATTCAAAGCTTGTGGCCTGGTCGACTCAACGCTAAGCTCTGGCTTTTCAGCATTACAAAAGGAAAATGTTATCTGCTCCTGCGAGCTCATAACACAGCGGCTGTCGGTCATGCGTTAGTGAGACCCAGCAACCTGCAGGTTTTTATTCCAATTAATTGATTCAACTGAGTCGATATTTAGCTGGTAGAATAATTGAAACTCTGTATTAAAGTGCAGTCTGCTACCAAAACATTAGGTATGTCTAACTACACTGTGAACACAGCAGGTCTATCCAGCACACAGCGAAACCTGAAACACTGAATCTCTCTTCTTCATTTCTAATCATTTGGCAACATCAGGTAAGCAGATGGACAGAAAAAGGTAGCTGACTAAATCATTACTTTAAGGTTGACTTCATCAATATAAGTACATGTTAATGACAAACAGCTGTGTAATCACACACATTAACAATTTAAAACTGTGATGACAAAGAAATTTAGAGACGACAGAAAGCTGTCTTTAATTTTGCTGCTGCACAGCTGACTGTGAGTGAGCAGCTGCAGACAGCTGGTTAAGTTATCAAGTGACAACATTCACTCACGTTCACCTTAGTTCTCCTAGGACCAGCTTTTCTGTGCTACAGTTTATTTGAATTCACTAAAGACAAGCTGTCATTTGCATAAATCATCAATTCCCCAAAAAACCTGAGTGCTGTTGAAAATACAATTAAAAACAAATCTCCCAATTTTCAATACCCCCATAATTAACTTAAAATAGGATTAGGGATGCAACGATACCAATTTTTACAAACCGATACTATACCGATACTTGGATCTGAGTACTTGCCGATACAGAGTACAAAAA